CTCATTCCTTATGTAAAAATATGAACGTAGGCGAAAACCGCGCATAAATCCGAGTCCGTATGCAAAAGTAAGAAAATTACATGGCATTGTTCAGAAGGAAACATGACCCGCGTAATGGTTTCTTTCCCATTACACGGCCCGTGTAATGAGGTCTGCACACGTAAAATGCGATTTTTCATAAAATGGTACTATACTTTGCATAACTCTTGAAGGCTCATTCCAGTTCACTTTGTACCATTTATTTAGGTTCTCACACATGTTTAGGAGGTGTCTTATCATCTTAAAATACTCCACTTAACCCATTAAGTGCTCAATGAACTCCTTAAGAACATAATAATCTTCTAGTGTTTAAAAGAAGAGTAACTAGTCCATGATGCACTTGCACATACCAAAGTCCACAAAACGTGTTCCCAACTTGTTGAACTCCCATGAGGATGTTTTCAAGTGCATGAAACCACAACTAATCTCATTGTAAATACCTAATCTAATAATGGAATCCACAATTCCATTCCATGTTCATAAATTGCCCTTATGACTAATGTTTCCATATATAAATCTAGGAATCAAGCAACATCTTATGCTTTTGAATTCAAATCATTCCAAGAATATCCATTCATGATTATGAACTTCCTTTACTCATCAAATGTTCAAATACTAAGGAATCCATTGTTTTTATCACATTTCTCCCAATTCCATTTCAACTTTCCCATTTTTCCCTTATGAGCACCAAACTCCATGGATTCATCCAATAACCAATCAACACTTAGCATTTTGCATCCAAATCATTCTAATAGCATCAATTCATGGTTATGAACTTCATTTTCTCAACAATTCTACCATAATCCATAAAATTCATTGATATCATCATATTTTTCCCAAAACCACCTAAAATCCATGTTTATACTTGATTCTACCATCATGTATGAATTTGAGAATTCCTATTGGATTCATTTCCATCAAACATCATCTAGGTCATTAAGTCCATTCCAATCTAACATATAAACATGAAATCCCTAATTTGAATTTCTAGGGTTCATGAGGGTTTTCACCAAAATCCTCAAATCTATCAATGAGATGATTAGATTGAGAATGGGATCATCAAAACAACTCAAGGGAGGTTAGAAACCAAAACCCCAATCAAGGAATCAAACTAATTTCGACATTGAGGTTTTCCTAAACCTTGAATTCGAAATATAGAGATAGAGGATGAGCAATTATACCTTTCAGGCTTGATGTTGCTTCATATCTTTAATTCCTAGCTTGATTTCTCAACAACCACTATAAACCTTCCCTTTCTTCATAAAAATCACCATTTCCCACTCCCTTTCTCTCAATCACGTTCTTCCCAAGAAAATGGGAGAGAAGACCCATTTACTAGCTTTGAATTTTCCCGACTTGCCACTTTGGTCCATCCTTGCAAAAACCCTTTCAAATAACTCTAAACTAACTAGAAGCTTCAATTAACTTCCAAAATGGTCCATCTCCATCTTAATCTTCACAAACTTAGTCCAAGTTATTAAGTTGATCAAATCTCTAGTCAAACCTAAGTCTCGCCCGATTTTCACAAATGACCCTTTAACTTTTAAGATGTTAAAATTTTTGCTTCTAAATTTCTAAACTTCATATCAATTAGAGTAAATTACACGAATGGTCCTTATGGTTTGGGGTAATTTGCGCGTTTGGTCTCTAACTTATTTTTTTAACTCGGAAGGTCCCTACTGTTTGTTTGTGTTACACGTTTGGTCTCTGTCTTACCTAAAAGGACTATTATGCCCTTATTTAAATAAATTAAAATATTCTTTTTAGGTAAGATAAGGTGAGGTGGAAGTGGGTTGAGAGTGTCTTTATTTAAATAAATTAAAAAGTCAATGGCAAAATAATCTTTTTAGGTAAGACAGGGACCAAACACGTAACAAAAACAAACAGTAGGGACCTTCTGAGTTAAAAAATAAGTTAGGGACCAAACGCGTAAATTACTCCAAACCATAGAGACCATTCGTGTAATTTTACTCTATCAATTAATGATGTGATTTTCCCATAATAATTTATTTATATAGTTTATCTTTCATTTATTTACTTTATTAATTTAAGAACCTAATCTTAAATTTTTAGGATGTTACGGTTCATATTCCAGAGTTTTTTTTATTATTACTATTTATTTTAAATTTTGAAAAAAATTTATTTTATTGTTTTTTGGGATTCCGAATATTACATTTTGAAATGTTTGATGTCATCATTTTTCGATAAAATATCTAATTTTACGTACTAATATTGTATATAATTCACATTACTATGTTTGTTTAATATTTTGCTAATTTTAAGTAAAAAATCAATTTTTTTTCTCAAAATTCCATAATTGTTCTTGAAATTCCAGAGGATTTTTTTTCAAAATCTAAAATTTTAGTCCGGAATCCGGAATGCCGTTCCAAAATTTGTCAAAAAATGTTTTTTCTTGGTCCAGAATGCCCATTTCGGAATAAGTGGTTATTTTTGCAATTTTTTTTTTGTTATTTTCTTCAAATACATGTTAAAAAGTGGTTAAATTACTTAATTTTCTTGTATTCTATAGTCTAGTTTGTCATTTTGTTATGTTTTGCTTTTTTGTCTTATTATATATTGCAAGGAATTTTTTTATACTATATTTTAACTTTAACTCTGATTCTACCACTACGTCTAGTCTAATATACGAGACCAAAATGATTCCAAACTGATCACTTTGTCAATTTATAATTTGAAGATAATTAAAATTGAAAAACATTTTATTATGGTGTTGCCATCCCTCCTAAAGGTTGAGGGTTCAAGTCTCATTAGAGACATATATAATATTAAGAGTAGTTTAGAGTACTATAGATTTGGTGTATAAAAAAAAATAATAATTTAGTAATGTTTATAAGTTGAAAATATGATTAACCAAAGCCCACGACGTCAACGCTTGCACATTTATTTGTGGAAATTGACATATTCCCTTTTTTCACGAAGAGATATGCGACACGTGTACGGCTACGATGCTGCTGTTGACGAAGAGTTCGAGAAACAAAAAGCCGACGTTCTCTGTGTCTCGAAATCCTTTTCCTTCGTTGCATGACCAAATCTGTACGGCTTCACCTTTTTTTTTAAATAACTTTTTAAAAAAATATAGTAACCAGGTGTATTTTCAACGATAATATAATATAACTTTTACTTATAACAAGAAAAGATTCTCCGGCGTTGCCGGGGTCGGAAGGTATTGCTTTGTAAAGTAAGTAACATGTTGGTTGCTTTTTGTCCGTTAATATGAGGGTAATTTGGTCTTTTCAGGTAGTAGAGACTGAATTTGTCGTGGTGGTGATGACAGATGGTGGGTGGCTTTATGGTATTGGGTGAGTATTTTCTAATAAATAAAACATTAATTTAAAACCAAAAAGAGAATGTTAAATCTGGTAAACCACAGAGACCAATCGTGTAATTTTGTCTAACAATAATAATAATAATGATGAAGGATCATTTCTGCCAAAAGACAAAATACTAATAATATGTAATAAAAGAGGAGAGTTATGAAAAATTCAAACCAAAGTGAAAGGGTTGTTTGTGAACAAAAGCATAAAGATGAAGGGTCAATGTTGTAAGTTGGAGGACCAAAATTGAAAAAAAAAAGGAGCCACTTTGTTAAAATTTTTAATAACTTTAATATATATATATATATATATATATAATAATGACATAATTACAATTATTATTGCTCATTAGTAATTTTTAATCTTAAATATGTTTTCATTTTCATCCATAACTTTGTTTTTATTGCAAAAGGACCTGATTTATCAAAAAGTTTTAAAAGATATATGATTATTTTTTAATATCTGAATGATTTTGTCCTGTAACTAAACATGAGTTTCATATGAAACGAGAAAATTCTACGAATTTTGATTATTAGAAAAAATCTTTAAAATAACGGATAACATAACACCCAAAGATAATTATCATATTGTCTCACTTTATTTGTTTAATTTTTTTTTTCTGAACATATGTTCATGATTACTACGTGGTGGTTATCATCGACTTTGAAAAGAACTTAGATATATAAAATGAAAAATCGTGCATTACATAATATACTTTTAGTCGTTATTAATTATGTTATTGTAAACATGTAACTTATTTGATTATAAAATTATAATGTAATGTCTTAAACATTGATTACAATAATACATTTCTTAGAAAAATATGACTGAGAATACATTATTTTTATATACATTTTGCATATTTTTAAATGATACAAAACCTATTAGATATTTCTATAAATCCAAATCCAAAAAACTTATTTTTGACCTAAAAATGACTAAATATTAAAGAACAATGACCATAAATGATCTGTGTCATGAAGGGGCCAACAATTTTAATCTGTCAGTAATCTCTTTGTAATCCGTTATTAATATGTAGCTAATCTCTCTGTAACTCGTCGCTATTCCTGCTAATCCGTTGCTATATGTCGCATTGCCACTTTGAAATTTTAGATGTCCATTTTTTTTCTTTTTGCACAACGCCTTCAAAATCAATAGACTGACCAAAAATATTATTAAAATTAGACAAAAGTTACTATATAAAAACACATCAATAGAAATGATAACAAGATAATTAAAATTAGACAAAAGTTACTATATAAAAACACATCAATAGAAATGATAACAAGATAGTCATAAAATGGGTCTCAATCATTATTAAATAAAAAAATAAGTTCAAGGATAAAGGGAGTTCGTTAGGCAAAAGTCTATTCATTTTCTTTCTATTCCTATCAAATAAAAAAACCATTGAACTTAACAAAAAATCATAACTTGTAAAATTTGATTAATAAATAAATAAAAGGACAATGTATATTTATCAAGACATCGTCAATCAATGTAATGTTTTAATGCCCTATAATTAATCAATTTTAAGACACAAAATAATAATAAAATTTATTATTATAAAACTAAATATTAAAGACAAATATATAAGTGGATTACCCAAATATCATTTTGCTCATTATGTGTGTATCGTTTTATGTTTGTTTGCTTGTAGACACGGCAATAGCTCAGCAAGCTAACTACTCCTATACAAAACTATACAATAATATCACTCATGTGCATATTAGCCTATATCCATATCTACACAACATTAACCAGTGATTTAATGGCGGAAGTAAGAGATCTCTGCAACTTCTGACCAAAGTAAGGAATTTTGTCTACTCTGTTCTTGTATTTTGTTTCTTCTAGGGTTTCGAACCTTCTCCAACAGCTCAATTTGGACACCAAAAGTTTCAAATTTGGTTTTCCAAACTCGTTAAACAAGTAGTTATATCGAGTACATAAATTAAAGTTGAAGCCGAATTCCGAAAGCTTAGATGCGGTTTCTATTTTTGGATGTGGAACATATCGTCATATGGATCAGGTTCTGGAGATCTGTTTTTGCATGTTTAGATGTTAACTTGTTCAGTTTAAGTTAATGTTAGTTATACTTCCAAAGCTCTGTAAACTCTAAAGTATCGATGAATGTATTTCCGATTCATTGTCTATTCTTCGTCTTTTAGTGTATACGTTTTCGTCGGAATGTGTGTAGTAGCCGTGTGTAATCGGAATTTGAAACCGGAGGTTAGTTTTCAGGCGGATTAGGTTTTTTATACAAGATGCCGTTTGGTAGGAATGAGAGGATTCGGTTTAGTAAAATTTATTCTCTTTCGTGTTTCCGACCTTCAACAAGTGATGAACATGCTCAAATCGGACAAAAAGGGTACTCTAGAGTTGTGTATTGCAATGATCCCGAGAATCCAGAGGCACTTCAGCTCAGATACCGGAGTAATTACGTGTCGACGACGAAGTACACAGCGATAAATTTCATTCCCAAGTCTTTGTTTGAACAGTTTAGGCGCGTTGCAAATATTTACTTTCTTGTTGTAGCTTGTGTTTCGTTTAGTCCATTGGCACCCTTTCGAGCTTCCAGTATCCTTTTTCCTCTTCTGGTCGTGATTGGGGCAACCATGGCAAAAGAAGGTGTCGAAGATTGGAGACGTCGGAAACAGGTAAAGTTGCTTTTTTTTTTTGGATACTTTTCTCATCTGTTCATTGTTTTTCTAACTTTTCTTTCTGATTTGCAACTATTTCCTTCTGAAACCTTCCTTTATTTCCATGTATCTGTGTTTTTAGTGGTGATTTGACTATGTTTTAATTGGTTTTTCAGGACATAAAGGCGAACAATAGAAAGGTCCACGTATACAGAGGCAACTCATTTTCTCAAAGCAAATGGAAAGATTTACGAGTTGGTGATCTTGTTAAAGTGAATAAAGATGAATATTTTCCATCAGATCTTCTTCTCCTTTCATCAAGCTACCCAGATGGGATTTGTTATGTTGAAACCATGAATCTAGATGGAGAAACTAATCTGAAATTAAAACACGCATTCGATTTCACATCTTCTTTAAACAATGACACCTCCTTTCATCAATTCAAAGCAATGGTCAAATGTGAAGATCCAAATGAAGATCTTTACTCATTCGTTGGAAGCTTATCCTACAATGGTCAACATCATCCACTTTCACTTCAACAGATTCTATTAAGAGATTCCAAATTAAGAAACACAGAGTATGTATACGGAGTGGTGATTTTCACAGGACATGATACTAAAGTCATGCAGAATGCAACAGATCCTCCTTCAAAGAGAAGTAAGATAGAAAGAAGAATGGATAAAATAATCTACATTCTTTTCACCACTTTGATTTCAATATCTTTCATTGGATCAATCTTTTTTGGCATAAGAACAAGTCGAGACTTAAACCATGAAGGTTATGGAAGATGGTATCTTGAGCCAACAAGAACAACTGCTCTTTATGATCCAAAAAGACCAATTCTAGCTGCATTTCTTCATTTCTTAACAGGGTTAATGTTATACGGATACTTAATCCCAATATCTTTATACGTTTCCATTGAAATGGTAAAAGTATTACAAAGCATATTCATAAATCAAGATCAAGATATGTATCATGAAGAAACAAACAAACCAGCTAGAGCTAGAACATCAAATTTAAACGAAGAACTCGGTCAAGTTGACACAATTCTTTCAGATAAAACTGGAACATTGACATGTAATTCAATGGAGTTTGTTAAATGTTCAATAGGAGGTGTTGCTTATGGACGTGGGATGACAGAAGTGGAGTTAGCTCTTGCAAAGAGGAAAAACTCGGGCAGCCCGGGCAGCCATGGTGGTACTTCAGGCAGCCATGGTGATGATGTTATGAAATTAGAGAAGTTGATTAAGGGTTTTAACTTTAGGGATGAGAGGATAATGAAGGGAGAATGGGTTAATGAAGATAACTCAGATATCATACAGAAGTTTTTTAGAGTTTTGGCTATTTGTCATACAGCAATACCTGAAGTTAAAAAAGAAACAAATGAACTTTCATATGAAGCTGAATCACCTGATGAAGCTGCTTTTGTTATAGCTGCAAGAGAACTTGGTTTTGAATTCTTTCAAAGAACACAAACAAGAATCTCTTTGCATGAATGTGTAAATGGCCAAAAGGTTGACAGGTGAGATAATTCTTAAATACATCTTTTTTTTTTTTTTGCATAATTCATGACTAAAATTGTAAATCTTTAAGGGTGAAATGAAAGAAATGTCAAATGTCAATGTATTTTTATTGATTTGTTTATTATGACACTTTACTTTCATTTCTCCATATTAATAGGAAGAATTGGAAGTAGGATGCTATACTAAAGAAATCAACAAAAGTACATTCATATTTCTTGCATTTAACCTTTTCATAAAAAATATAATTAAATATGATTGTAAAAGGCTAAAAGCTATTATTGTAGGATCCTAATTTCATTTTTCATATGATGATATTTGACTTTCAAAATCTATCTATTTATAGCAATGCAATCCAAATACAAACTGCTATAATTGGGTATATATATTTCAAAGTATAATCTCCTAATAAGAAAAAAGTTGAATGTACAATGCTATAAATGGGTAGTTTTTGTATTTTTGTTTTTATAATACAATTTCTTAGTAGAGTAAATTACACAAACGGTCCCTATGATTTGGGATAATTTACACGTTTGGTCCATAACTTATTTTTTTAACTCGGAAGGTCCCTACAGTTTGTTTTTGTTACGCGCTTGGTCCCTGTCTTACCTGAAAAGACTATTTCGCCCTTGATTTTTTAATTTATTTAAATAAGGTGGGGTAGGTAAGGTAAGGTAAGGTGAGGTGGAAGTGAGGTTGGGGCGTGTTTATTTAAATAAATTAAAAAAATCAAGGGCAAAATAGTCTTTTTAGGTAAGACAGGGACCAAGCGTGCAACAAAAACAAACTGTAGGAACCTTCCGAGTTAATAAAATAAGTTAGGGACCAAACGTGCAAATTACCCAAACCATAGGGACCATTCGTATAATTTACTCTTCTTACTAAGAAAAAATTTGAAAGTACAATATTGTTATAGAAATATTTAAAAAGTAAGATGATGTAATACTCAAATAAATGAAAAAAAGTTACTTTCTTGCATTTATCCCTATCTTTTAATCATAAAAAGAAAAAAAACATTACAAAGTTTCAATCTTTTAAACATTTTCACAATTTTTACAGATCATATGAGCTCTTAAACATGATAGAATTCAACAGTTCTCGAAAGAGAATGTCAGTAATCATAAGAAACACTGAAAATCAACTCTTATTACTCTGCAAGGGTGCTGATAGGTAGCTTACGTACTTTTTTTAACACATAAAACTATAAACATTCAAATTTTAAATTATTAAATATAAAATCTTTCCACTCACATTATATATATATTTTTTTATAAATTTAGTGTCATGTTTGAAAGACTTTGTAAAGAAAGTCAACCCTTTGAAGAGGAAACAAAGAATCATATCAACAAATACGCAGAAGCAGGTTTAAGGACTTTGGTGATTGCATATCGTGTTGTTGAAGAAGAAGAATATAAAAAATGGGAAGAAGAATTTATAAAAGCTAAAAATTCAGTGTCTGTTGAACGTGATGATTTGATAGATGCTGCTGCTGAAAAGATTGAAAGAAACTTGATTTTACTTGGTGCTACAGCTGTTGAAGATAAACTTCAAAAGGGGGTAAAAGCTTAAAAACTTAAAATGTCATTATTTTTTGGATAATCATGAAAATGACCAAAATGGGTCGGGTCTTATTTCACAATTTGACCACCTTTTTGACTTTTTAACAAAATGGATTCCTCTTTCACAATGGCCCAATTATAAAATTCCAGTAATTTGCAAAATTACTTTTAGTGACAAAAGGCTGCAAAATATGACATCATCATTTTGTGAAGGCTAATCTAAAAAAAGACCTTATAATTTGTGTTTTTTTTTTTTGGATTAAACCTAAAATTTATTTTTTGTCTGAAAAAGACCTTGTATTATTTCATTTTTTTCCGAAAAAGCCCTCAACTTTGTATTTTTTTTTCCGAAAAAAACCCTCAACCTTCTAAATGCTTCCGAATAAACCCTCAATCTTTTTAGTTTTTCTCGAAAAAAACCCTCACATTTGACTTTTTTTTTTGGAAAAAATGACTTAAAGTACAAGATTTGGAAAAAATGAAAAAATTCAAGGTCTTTCTCACATTTGAGGTTTAATCCAGAATAAAAAAACACAAAATATAAGGTCTTTTTTGAGATTAACCCTTTTCTGAATTGCAAAATCGAATCTTTTTCAATTTTTTTTTGTCCTTTTTTATAATTTTTTAAGTTTATTTTGTTAATAAAAGTTCAAAAAGATGGTGAATTTGTTAGATATGAACATTGAACACTCATTTTGGTCATTTTTTTTATTAACTCCATTATTTTTCTCTAGAGTAAATTACACGAATGGTCCCCTCTGGTTTGGGGTAATTTGCGCACTTAGTCCCTAACTTATTTTTTTAACTCGAAAAGTCCCTACTGTTTGTTTTTGTTACGCGTTTGGTCCCTACTGTTTGTTTTTATTACACGTTTGGTCCCTGTCTTACCTAAAAAGACTATTATTTAAATAGGAAAAAATGGTGGGGTAGGTAAGGTAAGGTGAGGGGGGTGAGGTTGGGGGTGTGTTTATTTAAATAAATTAAAAAATCAATGCCAAAATAGTTTATTTAGGTAAGACAGAGACCAAGCGCGTAACAAAAACAAACAATAAGGACCTTCCGAGTTAAAAAAATAAGTTAGGGACCAAACACGTAAATTACCCTAGAGTATAGGGACCATTCGTGTAATTTACTCTTTTCTCTAATACTTTTATAGCATAATTTTTTTATGATTATTATTTAACACAATGATTGTTATGTTGTTTTTCAAGGTTCCTGAATGCATACAAAAACTTTCAAATGCTGGAATTAAGATGTGGGTTTTAACTGGTGATAAAATGGAGACTGCAATAAACATAGGGTATGATATGATCACAAACTTAATTTTTTTTTTTAAATTTTTTATCACATAAATTATAGAAGTTGACTTTTTGACCATGACATCTACAGATACGCATGTAGTTTGCTTGTTCAAGGAATGAAGCAAAATTGTGATCACATTAGACTCACATGATATTACAGCTTTAGAAAAGCTAAACGACAAGGAAGCCATTACAAATGTATTATTATTTGTTTAAAGATAATAATATTAATTAAATAATGAGAATGACTTGATAAAACATTTTGAATTTTTGTAGGCAAAGAGAGAAAGCATCAAGAAGCAATTGATGGAAGGAAGATCACAACTTGATTTAGCTAAAAGTAGCTCTGTGTTGTTTGCTTTGATAATTGATGGAAGATCTTTGACTTTTGCTCTTGAAAAAAATCTTGAAAGTTTGTTTTTGGATGTTGCAATTGATTGCAAATCTGTTATCTGTTGTCGATCATCCCCAAAACAAAAAGCTCTTGTAAGTAATTTTCTTAGGTAAAAGGAATGGAATAGCTTATTCCATTGTTAAGTATTATTTTAGGTAGAAAATGTGTTTTTGTTTCCTTCTATCATGGAATGGAATGGAAAATTGTAGTATAAAACCCTTTTTTGTTTATAAATTTTTTTGATGAAAAATCTTTTTTAATAACTTCATGATTGTAATTAAATTATAAGTTTGTTTTTTAAAAAATAAATGGAGAATGTATATATTTTACTGTAATCTTATTTGGGTTTAATGAGATTTTATAATATTTAAATTTGTGTTTAGAAATAATAAATTCTATAACAATTATAATTAAAACATAAATTCTATAATTATATAATTAAAAAATGGGTTATTCTCAAGAAAAAGACCTTATATTTTGTGTTTTTTCTTTTCGGATTAAACCTCAAATTTATTTTTTGCCTGAAAAAGAAAAGACCTTGTATTTTTTTTCATTTTTTCCGATCTGTCCCTTTTAGTCGTTTTTTCCAAAAAAAAAAAAGGTAAAATGTGAGGGTTTTTTCAAGAAAAACTAAAAGTTGAGGGTTTATTTGGAAGCATTTAGAAGGTTGAGGTTTTTTTCTGAAAAAAAATACAAAGTTGAGGGCTTTTTCCGAAAAAATGAAAAAATACAAGGTCTTTTCTTTTTCAGGCAAAAAATAAATTTGCGGTTTAATCCCAAAAAAAACACAAAATATAAGGTCCTTTTTGAAATTAACCCTTAAAAAATAGCACAAATTAAAGAAATTATTATATTTCAGACAGTTTTACGGTTTAACTACTAATACTTTAATTTGGAAAAATGTCTGAAACTTTAATGGTTTGATCGGAAAATAAAATATCAGTGGCTAAACCATAAAACACACCAACATATAATAGTTGTTCTGTAATTTTCTCTAAATAATATATAAAATAGTACTAAAACTATACTTTTTATTTATATATACTAATATAATATTTTCATATAAGAAGTCATTCCTTTCCATTCCATTCCATTTCATCAAACCAAACAAACCTTTTATTAACATTTATCATCTTCAAGTAATTTCACATTAATTAATTAATTAATTTTTTCTAAAACAAACACACAGGTTACTAAAATGGTAAAAGAAGGAACACGAAAGACAACATTAGCAATTGGTGATGGTGCAAATGATGTTGGGATGCTTCAAGAGGCAGACATTGGAGTTGGAATAAGTGGTGCAGAAGGAATGCAGGTTTTTTTTTTTTT